ATTACTGTTCAGAATATTGATTTTGTTTTCAGGGAAGGGGATTTTCAATATCAGATTACTACTGTAACAAACACTGTGCTCCTGCTACTCTAATGACATCCTGTGTGCTCTGACCACACCGGGCTGTTTTGTTTGACTGTTTGAATAACTCTCAGTTGACCTCTCTCTTGTAAACCAGTTTTCCCAGCTGACTGACTCTGACTCTTGTAAATTTAGTGCAGCAAAACTGGACATGCTGGAACATCTGGCCTAAAGAATCATACTGGTTCAAATACAGTATTTCGTTTTTTAAATTCTGCGTTTATTGAAGTTCTATCAGTAGCAATTAAATGTTTAATCCACCCAGTTCAGTATATTATAGGACTCAAACAAATAAATGCTTCATCATGCCAAATTCAGTAGCATATTAACCAGCTATATACAACATTTACAATCAGGATGTGTCCTGCAAAGCAGCCAGTAGTAACAGCACATTTATTTTAATGAGGAAACACCAAATTTTTTGTACAAGTGTCAACAAAATATTAGTAAACAAAACACAATCTGATTAATCTGAGACATTCCAGCAAGAGGAACTTGAAAACTATCACAACATATTCCCTCCTGATGGGCTATAGATATACACTCACCAGCTGCTATATTTGGAACATCTTGCTAGTACCGAGTCGGACATGCTTTTTTCTTCAGAACTGCTTTAACTCTTCATGGCAGAGATTCAACAAAGTGGTGGAAATGTTCCTCACAGATTTTGTTCCATATTGACTGATATGATGTGATAGCATCACACAGTTGTTTGCTATGAATGTGAATCTCATTTTCAACCACATCCCAAAAGTGCTCTATTGGATTGAGATCTGGTGACTGTGAAGGTGATTTGACTACAAAAAACTCATTATCATGTTTAACAAAACAATTTGAGATGGTTCGAACTTTGTGACATGGCATGTTATCCTGCTGAAGTCAGCCATCAGAAGATGGGTACATTGTGGTGATAAAGGGATGGTGTTTAAGATATGCACAGTTGGTACAAACCAAACTAAGCTAATGCTAAAGAAATATTGCCCCTACCATCACACCACCACCACCTGAGCCTTAAAGACAAGGCAGGATGGATTGATATTTTCATATAGTGTACAATTCTGACTTTACCATTCGAATGTTGCTGCAGCAGATTAGACTTATTAGACCAGGCAACCCTTTTTCATTTTTCTATCATCCAATTTTGGTGAGCCTGAGTGAATTGAAGCCTCAGTTTCCTGTTCTTAGCTGACAGGAGCCACACCTGGTGTCCTCTTCTGCCGCTGTAGCTGATAAGCTTAAAGGTGTGACGGGGTATGCATCCAAAGATGTCCTTCTGCACACATACCTTTTCCTCTGATCTCTGGCATCAACATGGCATTTTCACTCAGATAACTGCTACACACTGGATATTTTCTCTTTTTTAGTGCACTCTCCCTGGAGTAAACAAAGCAGAACATAACAAATCACTAGGTTCTGAAATACTCGGACCAGCCTTTCTGGAACCTTCACCCACGTCACATTCAGAGTCACTTAAATCACCATTATTTGCATTATTATTTAAATCTTGGCAGATTGCCTTGACTATGCTTACATGCCTAAATGCACTGAATTCCTGTCATATAACGAGTATTAACAAGCAGCTGAAAAAGAGACCTAACAAAGCGGCTGGTTAGTATAAACATGAATTTCAGTCTGACTAACAGGTTACAGTATTTTAGAAGTACCACAAACATGCCTGACACTAAAAAGTAAAATGTTGCTAGACAATATTCTTTTGATGAAGTTCTGGAGACCAAATGGCACGTGTTAACCCAGGAGTCTTTACAAGTCCATCCAGCTGTGCATTCCTATGCAGCTGTCCCATGGTATATCATCATCACATGAGAAAAAGCAGAAGCAAATGGAAAGTATTTACTGTAAATGCATTTACTAATATCATTTCATGCTGCTGTTAGTTTTGAGGCTTTTCTTTACTGAGTCTGTTTTTGTTTTTTTTTTCATTTTGGATCATTCCTAATTATCTTTGCATTCTTTCAAAAGAAATGTGACTACATCTGGGTTCTTTTTAAATAACACATTATTTAAGAAAGGGAATTTTTTCCCTTTTTGCAAGCTAAATTACTGACATTTAATTTGTTTGTGACAGGTCCAACATTTTGAACTTGAAGTTCTCTACTACTTGTATAACATACAAATAACTTACAAATCTAATTTAATACCTCATCTAGCATATTAGCTCATGGATGTGCAGTCCCGTACTTAAAACTATGACCCATGTTTTGTTTTTAAATTTTTTTTAAATTATTGTTATTGTTTATGCTTCAGATAATGTGTTAACTTGTACCTAAAACCATTCAGTACCAATCACGATTGTCTTCCTCTAGGCTATCACTGCCCCCATTTAGTACCAAAAATTAGATACAAATCCATCCATAACATTTTGCATCCCCTTTGCTAATCAACTTGTGCTGTTTGGACATTTCTTGATTTTTACTGTAATATCAGGTCTTATACCTGTATTTACATGCTCAGCTTGGTAGGTGTGACCTAAAGCTACTAAGAAAGAAGCGGAGGAGTGAAAGAACTGGACTCAAAATGCACAGGACAGGAAGATGGGGAGCCTGAGCATGGAGTGTAATGTAGCATGCTCGCTGAATCTAGATCACTGAACACACCAGTGTTTCTTGTAGCAGTGATGAATACTGTGATTTGGCTTAAATGCATCCGTCCCAGTTATGGTAGCAGTGCTTTCACAGTGCTAATGCTACAAGTTACTGGGTTGGAGAGGTGGGTATTTAGTCTATCCTTTGAGACAAGATAAATTATTCAATAAGCTACACTTTGGGGAAAAAAACATGGATAAGAAGTAGAAATGGTCTTCCCTCGGGAAGGGAAACCAGAAAATTCACACAAGATTCAACCATGATGTAATAGCGCTATCAAAATGAACTGTGGTTCTATCCAGCAATGTGTTTTATTCTAATTAGTCATAGAAGTAAAATCTTAGCCCAAACCCTCCCTAGCATAACCATGCCCCTGTACTGAGGAAGTGATCATGTATGTATGAGTATGCGTAATACAAAAAGGGACAACGCTTTAACAATTGCCCTTGGCAATTAATTAAGCATAAAACCCTTCAGAATGCTTCTTATTATCAGAATATTTCTTTGGTATATCACTGGGTTTATTATACTTCAGAAAGAATTTCGCCTCTGGAAATTGAGGCATGTCCTAAAATTGAACTCTTCGATATAAATTTCACAGCTATTTTAAAAACTGGTGATCGGTGACTAGACAACTGAGAAAATGAGCCTTATGAATCAATGGAAAAAGAGCTGTGACATTTACTATGGTTTCAGAAATTACACATTTATCTAGTGGCAACTGTTGGATAAATATAACCATAACCATAAAAATAACAGCTACATGCATTCGCAGCAAGAAAGTGCTTCAGTAAAATCAGCTCAAAATCAAAACGCAACTATATGCAAATACCCCCCACCCCATACTATATTACCTGTGTTTAAAGAAATAGACCAAAAATGAATAGAACAGGAAGATGGGGACCCCAGCATGGACTGTTGAACTAAATTTGTTCAACCGTGTTAAAATACAAGGTAGAAAAGATCTCTGGGCATGAAACGTTTGAAAAAGTGGGATCCTGTACCTTTGTCCTTCTAACAGATTCACCATCGAGAGGGTGCAATATGTCACTGAGGATCTCTCAAACCTCAAACTCACAAAGTTGTGTTCTACTGTCCTGTCGCTCATCTGCACTCATACTGGCCATATGTGCAGTTTTATTGAATTTGTATTAAACAGACACTTAAAAACATTGGCCACACTACAAAAAGTAGAAAAAATCCTTCACAAATAAGCAATCAAAAACTACCAGTGTGCTTCTATACACATCAAACTGTCTCCCAATTATTTGTACTCATTCAAAACCCCAACACAGCCACTGCTAACAGTGACCTGTCTAAAACTAGAATAACACCAGGTAACAAATCTATTCAGATAGGCACATTATGTCATTAAGAAAATTACTATTAAAAACATTAGATAAGATTGTACAGAAAAGGAATGGGGCCACCCATATGCGCTGAATGAACTCTTCAGAAATTGTAACCTGTAATTTGACGTTAATCCCAGAATTGTCACTTTTTTTCAGAATTCTGTAATATTTATAATTTTCCCCTTGAAATCCTGAATATAAAAAAAGTCTCAAAACTAAAGGAAAAAAGTTAGAATTAGGCGTTAGCCCTACATGGTTTAGAGTAAGAGCACTCCCCTTTGAATGGGGCTGAAAAATCCAGAAGCATAGCTACTTCAAGGATTGACGCTATTGGATAAACTCGGTTTCTGTGGAGGCGGGTCTAACACCAACGAGGAAGTAAAGTGTGCCTATACTGCTTCTGGAGGAGCTCCACATCTGATGCGTACAGGCAACATGGAGAGGTGTGTGACATGATTTGCATAGAAAACTTTTTGAAAGTGCCCTTTTAAAGGCGCTGTTAGTAATTTCAGGCATATATAAATTATCACATATTTGGAATTAACGTGTGTACATTTCATCGTCAAATCCACCTGTGTCGACATCTCTGTGATATAAGCAAAAATGAATCTGAATTACCTACAGTATCGCAAAAATCGTGTTTGTTTGTTTTTTACCAAACACGAGCGCCGGCATGAATCTTCAGAATTCAATCAGCAGCACCCACATCTCAGAAACCATCCACCTGTGAACGTGTGGAGCTCCATGAATATATTAAGCAGACCTGAACAGACATCATGCTGTCTTTCTGAGACAAGGTGAATAAATCCAGGATTTTTTTCCCCTTAACCTGGAGGTCTACAGGGCAGGGTGGCTGGATAAAAGTGGGCTACACAGCCTACTTGATTGTAACACAAGGGTCCCTACACAGAATTAAATACGCTCCATTGGAGATGAGTACGCGTCTTGTCCCCGCCCCCCGAAAAGGCACAGCATCCATCCTCATGGGCTCACACGCTGCGTGATCCACATCACAAACCGAGAGCGGACGCTTTGCCCAGCCGATGGAGTAGTAGTAGCGGTAGTAGCGTGGGTGCAGTTCACGGCTTCCCCCTTTCCCCCCCACCCACATTCTTCACCTTCTTCTTTAATGGAGTCACATTTTATGTGGAATATTTCTCCATCTCATCGCGGTAAGTGTTTGCGTTGCCCGCAGATGCTGTGGGGAAGAAATGAGAGGAAACGGGACTGTGCAGCTATTGTCTGTTGCTGGGGCAAGTTCGGACCTTAATCAAGTCAAAGCGCTGGAGTCCTCTTCAGTGAAAAAGGCTTTCTGTGTGGGTTCAGTGAGAATGCGTGGAAAATAATGGCTTTAAAGCTCGCACAGAATCGATATCGGTATTTAGACACCTGTCTCTGCCAGCAGCAACAGTGACCTCCCTGTGGCGCTTTACGCTCACACAAATATGATTTTTATTTTGTTTTTGGCGATTATTTTCATCTGCTTCTGTATTGTGTATCCGTTAACAACAAGCGGAGGTTTGTGCAAATGTGTCGCCTCTGTTGCTGAGCAAAATTGTGTTTTCGGTCCAGCTAAAAAATAAAAAAATAAAAAATTGGCCCATCTCCCCGCCCCCCCCCAAATCGGAGACTGCCTAGTCCACAGCCCTCCCAGACACGCACGGCGCAGTAGATGCCTTTCTGATGAATGACTGAAATCCCGTGGTTGGTAGAAGATGTGTGATGGTGTATAGGGGGTAATCAGCGTGTGTGTGTCCGCAGGTATCGTTTCTCTCTTATTCTGAAATGGATGTATAGCCTCGGCCTCAGATTCAGAAAGAATTGTGTACAACAATACTTAGATTAACCTATTTTTCTAAAGTGATGACATAGTAAGAATGCAAACGTTTATGGGGTAAGGCGTGTTTAACCCTTATACATTTGTAAGCGTTTATCTACTGTCCTTTTTTAAGCTTTTTTTTGTTTCATTGGGTCAAAATGCTCGAGGATTGTTTTTTAATATGAGGTGTGTAAAGTATTGTGATCAATTAATACAAAGTATTAAAAAATCTGGTGTCATTAACTATAAAATGATACATTTCCCAGCTCAGGAGCACAGTCGGTAAATAGTGCCCAGGTGCTTAGAAGTCATTTCTTTCCTCATATGCTGTTGAAGAAGTGCTGTTTGTGTGAGTCGTGCACATTAATTGCATTTGCTGTCTGCTTCCATTTCTAGTAATGGGCAAATATTGTCTTTACAGAAGTTGTATGCATGTTGCCATGTGTGTTAAATCTTCCACGTGTCTCTTGGCTGAACACTTGGAATAAGATGGGATAACGTGACCCGCCCAGTGAGGCAGATTTCTAGTTAGTATTTGTAGCTGGAACCTGTGAATTTCTCTGCCTTCCTCTTTGTGTGTGCGTGTCTGTATTTTACAGGTGTATTCATGCTCGTCCTTGTTGCATAGTGAGGATTTATATCATGCAGCAGACAGATGGCATGTGGCTGGGCATCAGGGGAGCATTTCTTTGGCTTTCAGCAGAATACAGGACTCCTCTTGGCACATGCAATTCCTTATTGGCACAAGTATGCATTTACATGAGTGTGTCGATATATCACACTACGTAGTACATGTAAACATCGCCTGCACTCAGGAAGGCTTGTGTAGGAGGTCTCACTCTACACAGCAAAGGCCATAGTTTTGGGTTTGTGTGTGTCTGTGTGTGTGTTTTGTCTTTCCATGAAATGTAGTAATATGACAGGCTGAGGTCACAATGACGTCATATGCCTGGCAATGACATACTGTAACTATACTTCATGACTACTGGGTCATGAAGTTGAAACCTCATTAGGGTGTGTGGTTGCTCTCATAAAAATGTGCAGTTAAGGTCACATTTCTTTATTGATATGATCATTTTAGTTTTAACAGCACAGTGACACTTTCTGTGGGCCTCTGCAGTTAACATATTCAGCATATACTAGCACCATTTACGTTAACGATTTGTCCCATTTTTCTTTAACATTGTTCTTAGATTTAAAGAAAAAAACAGCAGTGAGTATTACACCGAGCTATTTATAGACTTTTATATGGTTTACTCTTGGCTATATACATTGCAGGATGCACTGCAGTCCTCCTTGAACCTTATAATAAAAATGCACTTGTCAAGACTTTGCAATTATTTGCCACTTCATTAGGTACAGCTTTCCAGTACTTGCCTTAAGAGCTGCCTTAGTTCTTTGTGGACAGATTTCATGAGATGGTGGAAACATTCCTTTGAGATTTTGGTCTGTACTGATGTGATAGCATCACAGAGTTGCTGCAGATTTGTTTGCTGCACATCCATAATATGAATCTCCTGTTCCACCACATCTCAAAGGTGCTCCGTTGGATTGAGATCTTTCTTTTTCCTAGCTGTGAGGACAGGCACGCAGTGTGGTCTTCTGCTCCCTATCTGCTGTGCATTCAGAGAGGCTCTTCTGCATCTGATAGGAAGGCAACGGGAAGTTGCCTTCCTATCAGCTCAAAGCAGACTGGGCATTCTCCTCTGAACACTGGCATCAACAAGAGAGAACTGTGGCTTACTGGCTATACATTTTCTCTTTTTTGGACCATGCTCTGTAAATAGAGATCATTGTGAGGGAAAATCCCTGTTCTGAGATTCTTAGACCAGCCGGTCTGGCAGGATCAGCCATGCTGTGTTTAAAGTCACTTAAATTGTCTTTCTTCCCCATTACGATGCAGATTTTCAGCAGGTCACCTTGCACATGTCTACATGACCAAATGCACTGAGTTGTTGCCATGCTATTGGTCGATATATTAGAGATGTTTGCTTTAACAAACAGTTGAACAGGTGCACCTAACAAAGTAGTGATTGAGATATACTAGCAGGGAAGCACTGCATCCCTGCTTCTGCATGACCCAAGACTCTATAGCTAAAATGTGCTTGTCTTATCATCCTTAATCTCCAGATGAAATACTCAGAGATCTGCCTGGAGCAGAGTAAAGCATCTCGTGAGATTTCTGAAAATTAAATTATGCTCTAGTGCATCATTTCGTCCTCACATAAGTAAGTGATAAATCAAAATAAAAATGTGAAATTCAATATACATCCTTACCCGTGAGCTGTCTCAGCAACACTGGATATCTAAGTTAACACGTTTGCCTCTTTTATTCCTTTTTATGAAGTCATGTAAATTCAGGCTGAACTTGAATAAAGTTGTATTTTTACTGCTCTTTGTGGAAACAAATACACTAAGCTCTAATACGGCACTTAATAAATATAGTGTCAGCGTGACAGGCTTCATGTGGTCCTAATGTGTTATAAATAGAAATAATTGCAAGGAAACTCCAGCAAATGACCTGTTTAAAAAAGAAATGCAGAAATAAAAATCAGTAATGCAGTGAAGCTGCTGAAACCGGTGACCTCTGAACTCATGTCTGATATCCAGCACCACTTTTACTCCCACACTAGAGACTCATTATTGATCACATGCAGTCACACACACACACATGTATACATGCAGGCTGCCTCACACACATACTCATCCTGAGCTTTGCTGTCTGCTCTTTGATTACCACTACATGTGGGGGCTGGTGTTATTAGTGCTGTGAGGGTATTTTCATTGGGCAGTATATCTGTCACTGTGATGTCTCTGGGGAATGAGTTGCCCCAAGGGTGAGATAAGGTCTGCTGCTGGAGTTGAGAGTGCTTTCCCATATCTAAGAAGACTGATATGTGCAGCTGATAAGGTTTTGAGCTGGACAAGGTGTGCATTTGTGAGAATTTCCACTTCCAGCACAGCCAGATCAAAAATGAGCTTGTCTTTAAACTTCTGGCTCCTTAGCACAGTGTTAGCGTGATTATCGAACTACATCGATGTGCAGCTTATTTTTCTGTTGCATTCACAGGCATCACATGTTGTCTCCCGGGCATCTCTCACCTCAGTCGTGTGGATCATGTCCTGCTGTGTGCTATGTGTAAGGAAGGAAAGCAGTGAAAAATATCTCGACCCCATTCTCCTTAAACTGTCGTTCATGCATGAAAGCAGCTTCAGTGAGGGATAGTTAGCAATAACGCTGGCAATACTACATGAATATTTCCCCTTGTTTTGCCACAAGCTAGACAGTTCAATTCAATTCAATTCAATTCAATTTTATTTATATAGCGCCAAATCACAACATAAGTCGCCTCAAGGCGCTTCATAGATACAGAGAAAAAAAACCCAACAATCATATGACCCCCTATGAGCAAGCACTTTGGCAACAGTGGGAAGGAAAAACTCCCTTTTAACAGGAAG